ATGTTGAGCTCTACCAGACTGGGAAAGAAACATCCACACTGCTGTTAGGAGAGGTGTTTCTCTCCCTGAAAGAGTGGGAGTTCCTTTTGGGGATCTCCTTGCCCTATGTTACCCCCATGATTTCGATTTCTTCCTCTTGCAAAGGAACCTGAGCTCCTGAACCCACCCAGTTCTGTGCAGTCACCTGTGCGGTGCCAAAATACACGAGGATGAAGATGGTCTTGAATGAAGGAGTCAGTTTTTCCAGCCTAATTAAACCCAAGGGGGCTGGAGCAGCCTTGGTGGGCTGGCCTGGCTGTCACAGTGCTGCACCCTTGTCTCAGCTCTACATCTCCACGCTGAGATTAATCCATTATTTTTTAAGTGCAAACTTGGCAGAAGCCCTAAGATAGATCACAAGTCAGTTCAGCCACTTTATTTTTCAAACTAGGTGTGTTTGCAATCAGTGGAGGCGTTGGGTGGTTGGGCTTTGTGACCGGTTGAATTTGTTGTTTTGAGGGTTTTTTTGGTGCTCCCGGCGAGGGAGAACAGCCCCATTCCTGTGGGTTTTTTAACCGCCTCGGCTCTTTTTTACTAAATGGCCTGATTGCAGTCAAAGAGTCAGCGAAGCACTATCTCAGTCAGTGCTGCAGTGATGCCCCTAAAGATAACAAGGAAACCAGGTCGATGAAGACTTGCTGCCTTGTTTGTGGCGTGAGCTATAATTGCACGCAATGCCAGATCTGTCTGGCTGCTACAGCCAGTGTCTTAAGACGGAATAGATTGCTTTTTTAAGTGAAGATGGTCATTTTCAGCCTGTCTGAAGTCACAGAGCATCAGCACCTACAACCAATGTGCCTTCCCATGTGGTTCATTGGGGTCGGAGCATCTCTGAGCTCAGGACGGGCTCCAATTTATTGCAGGGCGCCAAGTTGTTATTGGCTTGGATTCGCTGTATAAAAACACTGAGGGGAGGAGAAAGGGAAGTTCTTCATGTAAATTATTAACAAATTGCGTGTGTGGCTGTCAACAACGAGCTGCAAAATGCGACCCTGGAGCAGTGGGGCTCAGGGACGTTGGCCAGAGGAAGGCTCTCTCAGGAGGCTGTTAACACACACCGAAGCTGATCAAGTTGCAGAGTGGTGCCAGGACCTGGGGACGGTCCCCACCCTCAGCCACGTATTTCTGTCCCCATCTGTGCCCTGGGTCTGACAGGGATCATGGATTTCTGATAGGTGAACCTCTTGAATTGTATTTCTGTTTTTCTGCCTTGTCTTTATCCATCTGTATGTGTACAAAGGGAGGTTACTCAGGTCCTCAGATCTGTGATTATCTTCTTTTTCCCTTTTTTTAAAATAGTTTTTAGACCATGTAAAGCTACTTTCTTACTGACGTGTTGATTTTTTTTTTTTATTTCCTACAAGAGCAGCTATATCCAACCCTACTGCACTTCTACTTGTTTGGGCAAAAGCTGCTTTTATACTTGAGATGGACTCCTTTCTCACATCTGCAGGGCTTAACATCTCACTGAGCTGCTCTGCTCAGCCCTGTAAGGGAGATAATGCTGCTGTGTGATGCCTTCCTTTTAAATGCATCATAAGTACTTGTGGTTGTGGGTGATAAGTGCAATTTGTGTTTATGAGATGCTCTAATGTCCTCACATGGCAAGTTCTGCAGAAGTGGAAAATGTTCAATAAATAACAAGTTATTAGTCAAAACTATAAATAAAAAGAGAGTCAGGAAGGCTGCTTTTTGCAGGATGGTGGTGAATAAGATTGTCCCAGACCTCTGCTGTGTGTCTGACACTTTTTTTTTTTTTTTTTTTTTTTTTTTGTTTTTTTGCGCCGCAGAGACAAAAAAAAAAAAAAAAAAAAAAAAAAAGTTCTAGGAAAAATATTAAACCC